TAATGCTTTCCCTGCTGCTGCTGCTGCTGATGTTGATGCTGCTGCTGCTGATACTGATGATGCTCAAGATGAAAACAGGGTCCCAGGATGGGGAGGTAGGGAGGAAGACTTTTCCTCTACCTAATGTGGGTTTGTCAGGCTGGAGAACGAATTAAATTCACATGAGACAGAATAGCAGGAGAAAGCTAAACAAAGCTTTATGAGGACCATGGCCCAGGGCCTTTCTTCCCAAAGGAAGAAAGGGCACCGAAGAAGTGGAATGCACAGAGTGGTTATATCCCCCCAAACAGGATATTTCACATATGATTGAAATGTCCCTCCCACAATAGTCACAAGATTGCCCTGTGGGCACAGCGCTTGATGGACACAGCAGGTAGTGGTCTGCTGTCTCAGAGGGCGCAGCAGGAGGCAAGTCTATCGTCTGGAGCTGGGTGGTCACAGGTGAGCGCAGCAATCAGTTCCTAGCCTAAGGAAAGATGCTTAATCCTTAAGGGAATGCCAACATTGGGAGGGGGAGGGAAGTCAGTTACAGGAGGTTACCAGACAAGCACAATAAACAAATACAGATTTAAGTCCTTGCCTTCCCCATTGATTAAGAGTTTCTAGAGACAAGGTCATCTCCTTTCTTCTTCCTGGTACAGAGAGGGAGATATCTTTACAGATGGAGAGTTCCTTTACAATGTAAATGTCTCCTAACAAAGGGCAAGCAAGTTCCACTCCTCAGAGCCTCCTTCCCTGTCCCAATTTATCAAAAGCAATCAGCCTCAAATAATCCTCATGCCAAAGAGACATATCTTGGCCAAATCCAGGTCCCCACAGGGACATGGATCATTCTTGCTCCATGTACGTACATTCAAGTCTCATTTTTGGTGGAAGAGAGGGGCCCACCTAGAGACCTAGAAGCGAGACACTGAGGCAGAAAAGGCAGCTTCAGGAGAACTTTCCCCCTTCACTCACCCACCCACCCATGGAAGCAGCCTTTGTTATTCCAGAGCTTCCCAAATTTACCTGGTGGTAGGCACCACCTGGAGAAATGCTGAGAGCACAGACTCCTGGACTCCAGCCCTGCATACTCCGATCTGGTTGATCTGGGGTGAGGACCAGGAATCTGTATTTGCACAGCCCTCTGGCGGGGGGGGGGGGGGGGGGTCCCACGGGCCAGCAGGTTTGGGGATGCTGGCCAACCCCATCTTTATGGTTTCTGAAGTGGGGACACCCACATGTCCTAGAGTGGGCAGGGCCAGGCTACGGTTGCCCAGGACTGTCTGGGGAGTGTTCCCAAGGAGAGATGCTACCAGAGGTGGACAAGGCAAGGGTGAGGGGGGGCCGGCCGGTAGAGACACAGATGCAGGTCAGTGGAGGCTGTGCAATGGCGCAGGTGCAGAGCTCCAGGCCCTGCAATAGACAGACAGAGAGGGGCTTGAAAGGAGTGGGAAGGGAGCTGATACTCCTCTGGGTTCAGAAATTCTTCCTGCAAGAGCCTGTGGGACTCACATTGGATGGGAGTGCCACGGTCAACAGCCTCTGATGACTATCGTACCCCAGGAGCAGGAAGAGCCGATGTGTGCAGCGGAGGAGTTCGGGGAATCCTGCCATGGGGGGTTTTGGGGGGGCAGGTTCTCTGACACGACCTCTCGGCCCCCTGCCTGAGCTGGGCCCCAGCGCTCCCTGCAAATCCTCAAGAAGCAGGATTCAGGGTTCCGTGAGCTACCACCGCACACCCCTGGCTGAAGGGCCCAGCCAGCCAAAGGCTGTGTCCTCAGGGCTGTCTTGGTCAGCTCAGGCGGCTGTCACAAATGCCACAGATGGGGAGGCTTAGACAACAGACGTCTGTTCTCTCACTGTCTGGAGGCTGGAACTCTGAGATCCAGGTGTCTCAGGGCTGCTTCCTCTGAGGCCTCTCTCCTTGGTGTTGTGGGGGATTGGAATTGGCTACCCCAAGATATGTCTCTTTGGCATGAGGATTATTTGAGGCTGGTTCCTTTGCAGGCAGGAAAGCAACTGAAAAGCAGAATTTACTTACCCTTTGTAAGAGACATATACATTGTAAAGGAACTCTCCATCTGTAAAGATATCTCCCTCTGTACCAGGAAGAAGGGGAGATGACCTTATGTTTAGAAACTCTTAATCAATGGGGTAGGGAAGGACTTAAATCTGCATTTGTTTATTGTGCTTGTCTGGTAACCTCCTGTAACTGACTTCCCTCCCCCTCCCAACGTTGGCATTTCTTTAAGGATTAAGCACCTTTCCTTAGGCTGGGAACTGATTGCTGCACTCACCTGTGACCACCCAGCTCCAGACAATAGACTTGCCTCCTGCTATGCCCACTGAGACAGCAGACCCACTACCTGCTGTGTCCATCAAGCGTTGTGCCGACAGGGCAATCTTGTGACTATTGTGGGAGGGACATTTCAATCATATGTGAAATATCCTGTTTGGGGGGATATAACCACTCTGTGCATTCCACTTCTTCGGTGCCCTTTCTTCCTTTGGGAAGAAAGGCCCTGGGCCATGGTCCTCATAAAGCTTTGTTTAATTTTCTCCTGCTATTCTGTCTCATGTGAATTTAATTCATTCTCTGGCCAGACGAACCCAGAGAAGGTAGAAGAAATGTCTTCCTCCCCTACAGTGTGTGGACACCGTCTTCTCCCTGTGTCCTCACACAGCCGTCCCTCTGTGTGTGTCCGTGTCCTGATCTCCTCTTCTTATTAGGGCACCAGTCAGATTGGAGTAGGACCCACCCTAATGACCTTCACTTTCCTTAATCACCCTTTAAAGACCCATCTCCAAATACCGTCAACTTCTGAGGTGCTGGTGGTTAGCTCTTCAACTTAGGGTGGACACGGCTCAGCCCATTACGAAGCCTGAGCAAGAACTGCAGTGAACACAAGACCATCAGCATCTAACCTATAAGGCTCAGTTCTGGCTGCAGCCAGACCCCACAGGACCCCAGGCCACCAGACTTCTGGTGCAATGATGCACCAGGCTGTGCGAAAGTGAGCGCCTCTTCTAAGGACAGCCGGTCTGAGGTGGATCGGGAGGGGCAGGAAGCCTCAGGGACTCTGATTTTCCAAGATATCCAGCCCTAGCCCCAAAGTGCAGGGGTCCTTCTTGCCGCCAGCCACAGAGAACCCCCAGTTCTTTTGATGTGGTTGAAATGGCAGGACAGCCCCGGGGGGCGGGAGAGGGGCTGGGGGGACTTCCTGCGGGAAGGAGATTGTGGGCGGTGGTGGGAGGGAGTCTGGGGACCTCCCACAGAGTGAGGACCCTTCTCTAGAGGGGAGCCAAACCCAGAGTGATGAAGGAGAAACACGGTGTGTGTGTGTGTGTGTGTGTGCGCGCGCGCGCGCGCGCGCGCACTGCTTGTGTGCACTGCTTTCCACTTAAATTGAAACAACGGCACACTGTTCACTGCACGTGGAGCAGGACTCACTGTCGGAAACTCTTCTCTCCTGTGTCCTCCCTTCTTGGTGTCCAGTTTCTCTCAGGAGGAGTGTGGGCGCCACCCCAAGGGCCATCTGCTGAGCTCCATCAGGGTCCCCAGCACCCTGGCCTCCATTCCACGGGAGAAAGCCCGTTACATGGCCTGACCACACCAGAAGCACCCATCCAGCCACTCCTGGAGGCCACATCTGCCCACCCACCTTGCCCTCTCCATGGTCACTGTGCAGCTGGCAGGGCCCCTGGCTGAGCCACCTGCCGGCTTCCCCGTGGAGGCTGCGGGCCTCCAGGCCTTTTCTCCTCCTCAGCTCGGGGAGTCGGGGCCGACAGTGAGAAGGCCTCCCTCTCTTGGTCAGGGATGCCCAGCCCTGGTGGCCAGAAGCTCCCAAGGGCCTGTGACATTCCAGAGAGGGGGAGGCAGCGTGCAGGGGCACCTCCCCGACGGGGAGCCCAGGGCGTGGCGCCTGATGGAGGTGGACACTTTCTGCCCATGCTTGCCCGCCCCTCCTCATCCCTTCGGAGCGATGGGGCAGCTCCTCAGCTGCAGCCCCCAAGGAGCCAGGAGAGAAGCCCCCAGAGGGAGGCCAGCAGTCAGGGTGGTGGGGCCTGGCTGGCACCCCAGTTCCCACACAGGGCTAGAGAAGGGAGCCCCGGTCTTCTGCCTCCCACTTGCTCCCGTCCTTTCCCTCCTCTCTCCATCCCTCACAGTCCAAGAAAACCTTCTCCTTCCTGCGCCTGCCCAGGTCAGGGGACGCTGGGATTGGGAGCGAGGAAGTGACCCAGTCACTTTGCAACGGCTGGGGTGGAACGGGGACAGACGCTCCCCAGTGTCCTTCCCTCCCCTCGGCGCGCCCCCCTGCACCCCCACTATGAGTGGTGTCACCCCTTCTCCATTGTTCTCCAAACTCCCCCGATGCAGACAGCACGGCCACCAGACGGCAAGTTGCTTTTGTCACCTGCTCTTTATTGACTGCCACGGGCTGCATTCTCCTGGGTGACCAGATACCCCAAGAGCATTACTACACGGAGGAAGTGGGAGGGAAGGTGGTCTGAGAGAAGCGGGCTGCCGAGACCCAGGTGCACGCACGGAGCCTCTGCCAGATGGACCTCACGGAGCCCGGGGAATGTAGGCGGGGTGCTCTGCGCAGCCTCAAGGCAGGCGCCCGCCGCCAAGGGTCAGGATGCCCCTGGCTGGCCCTGGAGACCCAGGGCTCGTCCAGAGATGCTCAGTGAGGGGGCGTTCTTCTTCTGACCCCTCAGTAGAACCAAGACCAGCCTGCATCCCCCGGGAGGACAGGGCTGTGGTCTAAAGAAACTGGGATGGCCCTCACTTCCACAACTGGCTGGTGTTGGGACCCAAGTCTCCCTGAGGGCAAAGCACCTCAGGCAGAGGCCCCAGGATCTCTGGCTACTCCATCAAACCCTCGTTCCCTCAGAGAAGAGGAAAAGGAAATGAAAAAGAAGAAAGCAAAGGAAGACAGATGCCCCACTTTCTGGGGTCTCCCGGATGGGCGGGTGGCAGGGGCAGCAGCGAGTGGCAGCCGAGGCTGAGGCCGAGCTTAAGACGAGGGTGCAGAGCCGGGCTTCTCCTCCCGAGACACGGGGATGGCTCGCTCGCTGTGGCCGGCGTCCATGCCGGACGGGATCTTGGGGCCAGAGAAGGTGAGCATGCCATCCGCGGACACGGAACAGGAGAGCGCCGTCTGGTCCACATTGGAAGGCAGGCGGTAGCGACGGTGGAACTCACGGGAAATGTAGCCATGGTCGTCCTGGGGAGGGGACAGGGATGGCACCATCAGAGACGCCACTGCAGCGGGCGGCCACCAACCCCCCTTGGAGAAGGCCCTCCTGGACCGCACAAGGGTCAAACCCATGGCGCTCTCGAGGGTGAGGTGGGGAGGCTGGAGCTGCGGCAAGGGCTCCTCCAGGCAGGCCTCCCCCCATCCCTGTGCGGGGGATCCAGGCCTGCCCGGGGCCCTCGCTGCCGTGGAGGTGGCTCTTCAGACTAATTTCTCTCCAAAATCTTCTGAATGGTTCTGCGCCTGGGGCAGGTGTTCCTTTTACCTGGGACCTGCCCAGATTACTCAGGCTCAGGGGCCCTGTGATCCATTTAATGGGGTCAGAAAGCCACGCATGAGCAAAAGAGCGTCCCCTCCTCCTACATGGCCCTAGTCCCAGCCTCAGCCTCTGACTGGACCCAACTAACTCTGCCTCCAGGTAGAAGGTCGGAGAACGGAGAACCGAGATCAGGAGGGGTGGTCCCAGGGCTGTGCTGGATAAAACAATAGGGTCAGTTCTAGGGGGCCCAGGATGAGGGGCAGCAGACATGGAGCTGGGGTTTCACCCCCGACACGAACAACCTCTCCAGCCACCAAAAGAAAACTCTGGCCTCTGACTGCCGGCTGAGAAGCCGCCCCACCCTGTCCTGGCTGTGGGACCTCCCTGAGCCTGGCTCTGTCACCTGCCAACTTGAGATAATAGGGATGCTTGTCTCGAAGGGCTACTGAGAGGCGGCTGTGTCAGCACACACAGAGCGTTCGGAGCATTGGTAAATGCTGGCCACACCATCGGCACGGCTCATCGTCCCAAGTTAGGTTTATGTGAAAACCTACGCTGGCTCGGAGCCCGCCACCGTGGCGCTGGGCATTTGCAGGGTCCTTCCTAATCCCACAGCCCAAGCAGTGCCCGAGTGGCGGTCCCGTCAGGCCCCCACTAGCCATTGGCCCTGCTGCCCGGGCCTGCGGAGGGCTCAGAGTGACCTCCCCGGTCACTGGGAGGTGGCCCTGCTTAAGTGGGTGTGGCTCCTCCCTCCAGGAGGAGGGGGCCAGATCTGGGGCCCCAAGAGCTTCCCTGGGCCTCCAGAAGCGGGCGCTCGCCCGGGACTCACCTGCCTCTCGTTGTGTTTGCCGTGGATCTCCACAAAATCCTCCTGCACCTTCACGGTGAGGTCCTCGGGAGAGAAGTGCTTCACATCCAGGAAGATGACGAACTTGTCCCTGTCAGACCGGACCTGAAACCCAGACGCTCGTGTGAGTGTCTCCCGGGGGCCACGGCTCTGCAGGGCTGGCCAGAGTGGCCCACATGGAGTGACCGGTAGCTCAGTCCCCAGAGATTAGAACAGAAACTGCAGGTCACCACTCTAGCCTCTCTTTCTACATGCCCAGAAGACAGAGGCACCCACCCAGGACTCAGGACTGCGGACCAGAATCTTGGGGTTGAAGGCAGTGGGTGTCTGTTGACTGCCTGTTGGTGATGAGTTGACTGGCTGGTTATGGGTTGGCTGGATGGTTGGCAATGGGTTGATGGGCTGATTATGAGCTGGGTGGCTGGTTACAGGTTGGTTGACTAGCTGGTTATGGTTGGGAGCCTGATTATGGGTTGGTTGGCTCGCTGGTTATGGTTGGTTGGCCGGTTATAGGTTGGTTGACTAGGTAGTTATGGTTGGGAGGCTGTTTATGGGTTGGTTGGCTGTCTGGTAATGGTTGGGGGCTGACCATGGGTTAGTTGGCTGGCTGGTTATGGTTGGCGGGCAGGTTGTGGGTTGGCTGGCTGGCTGGTCAGACTGGGCACTTGGAATAACGGTGCTGCCCTCAGCTTCACCTCGTCTCTCTATAAACAACCCGGGGCCGTCTTTCCCAGGGACTGCCTGACTGCCTGCCCAGGGCCGCTGGCTGCGTTGCACACAAAGCGCTTTTGTGCTCCTCCCTGTCACTTCTCTCGCTCGGAACATTCCTTTAGGCTCCTTTGCTCCATGGAGTTGGTTGGTGTTGCATCAGCTCTGGGCAGGCCTGAGTGTTTCAGGCAGTGGTGAGAACTAGCACTCTGGCTCTCTGGACCAAGCGGCTTGGGGAGGGAAGGCTGGGGGCCTGGTTGCCTGCCCTTTGGGCCCGGCCTTGGGCACCTGGGCAAACTTGGGAGGAGCTCTCTCTGCAGCTCTGCAGGATGGGCCGGAAGGGCTTCAGATAGGAGGCCCTCCCCTGGGGCCTCGCCAGCACCGCCCAGCCCCGGCCTCCTGCTGGAGGGAAGGCCAACAGCTGCGAACACAAAGCTCACGCCTCCCGTCCAACCTGCCTTAGCGGGGTCGTTCTTGGGGTTTCCAGCAAGTGGTTGGTGCATTGTGGACCACATGCGGGTCATGATGGGAGGGAAAGACAGTGGCCAGACTCAGGCTGCTGGGGGGATGGCCACTCCGCCTCCCACCAGCGTCCAGTGGGAAAGTGGCTCCCCAGCCATCACCATCAGCTCCATGAGCTGATGAGATAAGGGCGAGCATGCAGGTGCCTTTGCTCGGGACCAGCCCTCAGAGGTCCCGCTCCCTGCCCAGCCTGACCCGGGCCCTCCCTCTGGCAGCAGCTGGGGCTTACCTCAGAGATGCCGGAGTCCAGCACGGTGCGGAAGAGGGACTGGCGGTAGTAGGGGCTGATGGTGGAGGACAGGAAGGGCAGCAGGTCATACTCAAAGAGGCCCTCGCCGAAAAACTGGTCGAAGAGCCGGCTGGGGTAGAAGGGGCCCAGGGCGCGTTTGAACCAGGGGTGCTGGATAGCGATGTCCATGTTGGGCGTTGGCTGCAGGGACCAGGGCTGGAGGGCAGTCAGGGCAGGGGCCTCTGGGCAGCGCAGTGAGGAGCTGGGATGCCGGCCCTCCCTATATACGCCTGCGACAGAATAGAGGCGTTAGGGGGATTTCTCTGGAAAGCGTGAGCTCATGAGGGAGGCTGTCCAGTCAGCAGAAACGTGGGCTGGGCTCAGCCCCCGCCCCTCCCGGCCCCGGGCAGCAGCACTGACAGGCAGGGAGCCCTGGACACAGGGAGGACAGACATCCCCAAGCAGCTTCTCTCTGCTGGCTCTGCCCCCTCAACTCGCCCAGGGGGAACGGCAAAGACTTCCATCTCCCCGTTACTGGGCGAGGGCGCTACGTGCCAGCTGTCTGCATACACGGTCCTGTGTGATCCCACGGCCACCTGACCAGTGGGCACTTGCACCCCTGTTTCACAGAAGAGGACACTGAGGCACAGAGGCTGGCCGAGTGGTCCCCTAATCTCACAGGTGAGGGTGCATCGTTTTCCAAAACAGAATCGCTTTCTCTTGATTACAAAAATCACACACACTCACTGTAAAAATCTTGGGAAAGACAGAAAGTAGGAGAAGAAACTAAAAAACACTGCAGCTCCGGCTCCAGGGGAGCCCTGTTTCAGGGTCTGTGTGCGCCCACACAGGAGGCAGGGTTGCTTTCCAAACCTGGAAAACCGCACCCTGGCCTCTCCTCCGTGCGGCTCACCCTGAGCGTCGTCCCCACAACAGTCATCCTCTCCTCCGTGGACGACACCGCGGTCCTTAAACCACGTGCTCCTGTCAGGCTTGCAGCTGGTCCCCGTGGTCACTGTTGTCGGCAAGGCCTGGCGACTTTTGCCCCTCTCTCTGTGGCCCCGTGCAGTTATTCGGAGGCATTTCCAGAGTGGACCTGCCACCGGTCAGGGCACTCCCAGTTTTAAGGTTTCTGATCTTTTCCAGTAGCTTGGCCTCTGGGGAGCATTATTCTAACTTCCACCGCAACTAGGAAAGCACCTCTTCCCACGGCCCTTAGGGAACGGCTTCTTTAGTGCACGATCCAGACAGCGGGAAGGTTCTTACTCACCTTTGTGCCTCCCCAGGCCCCAGAAGCACAGCTTCGAACCACATCTGCTTCGCGTTTGTGGAATGAATGCATCCTCAAAACACTCAGGGATCTTTGCAAATTTATCTCCAGCCCCTGGACTTGGTCAGGAAAGAACAGACTTCCCCGGTATTTAAGTAAGATCGTATCTGACACATCTAAAAAGGAATCAGCGTCAAAGTGGGAATTTCAGAGCCTCCCTCCCATGTCTCCTCCCTGACTAGCAGTACTGGGTATCAAATCTTTCCACCTGTGTTTCTGAGCACCTGCTCCGGGCAGAGCACCAGCCGGGTGGTAAAGGGCCCTGAAAAATCTGGAAATGCCATCCTTTGTCCTGCAGGTTTACAAATTCAAGGAGTGATTCCCCAGAGTTTCAGGAAATAAAGGCCAAATTAGGGTGCAGATAATCCCACCGCGGGGAGCAGAGGGTGCCTTCCCCGCCCAGGCCTGTGCCAGGCAGTGCTCTGCGGGTTTCCTCGCAGCCGCCCTATAGGGGATGTAGGTCCCAACATCCCCCCACTTTGTAGACCAGGAGACTGGGGCTTGGAGAGTTGAAGTTCCTTGCCCGGGTCACTCAGAGTGGAGGAAAGGGAGGGGGCTTCGACACAAGCCGCCTGCCCGGCCGGGGTTCAACATGGGAGAACAGTGGTGGGGCTGTGGGCGGGGTGGTGGGTGGCCTCACCCAGCGCTGGCTGCCTGCTCCTGGGCGTAGGGAACGGGAGGAAGCTGGCTGGGGCCTCTGTGGAGAGGGTCCCACAGGGCCAGGCGTGGTCGGGGCTAGGCAGAGCCACACAAGACCTTGAGACAGAAGGAAAGGGCAGCAGCACTGATTCTGTCTTTGTTTAAAGTTTTGATATTTTATTCATCGCAGATTTTTTGCATTCGAGTTTTTGAAACATTGCATTAAGACATGGTTTATCCTGAGGACTGCGTTCTGTGGTGTCCCCTGACGTTTGGCACCAAGGGGAGTGCCGTACTCTCCTCCCCCTACACCTGGCCCTCCATGTGGTCGTTGCAACAGGCTGGGACTGCAGGCAGGGATGAGCTGACGTGCCAATTTGGGGCTGGGCACAACCTCATCCTATGGGCCACATGGTTCAGGGCACCCAAGGGACCACCAAGGTCCTTCAGTCGTGCAGGGGTGCCCAGGCAGTCACTCAAACCCTTTACACGCCTGCCCTTATTAGGGTTGGGAACCCCATGTGCTGTGACCATGGGGAACAGGGACCTCCGTGGGGCGTGGTGGCACCAGTCGCAGAGCTGGCCGGGCCTGTAGGGGTGGCCTTCAGAGTGAGCCAGCACCAAGGCTGCAGGGATGGGAATCGGTGGGGGATGGGCTGTTTTCAACACATGTGTGCAAATTCACCCTCACCTGAACCCCTGCCTCAGCCTAGCCCCACCCCTCACCACCTGGATTCTGGAAAAACAAGACCCTTTTGCTCTGTGCCTGTGTTCCTCCTTGAATTCACTTTGAAGATGTCACTTCAAAGCCATGATGGTGCAGAAGGAGCTGTTGGCGGTGCACTGAGGGGGTGCAGTCTGCAGAGATTTAGAAACGAGAAAACCACCTAAAAGTTTGCATACTTTTCATTGTCCCCAGGCACTGTCAATTCTGAGTAGGTCAGTGCAAAACATGCCGCCCCTTTTGTCAAAGTTCTAAGCAGTAGCTGCATAAACACTATTGCCGATTCTCCTTGTTCACAGTAATGTGCTACAAAGTTGCTGTGGACAAGGAGTTAGCGGCGACTGAACCATGTCGCCCATAGGAAACATGCATCAGGTTCCTGCCAGTATCTGGTTACAATACTTTTGTCAGCCCAACAATAGATGTGTATCGTTGCGTGTTTCTGTTTAAAGACACCTAGTTTCACACATGCTGTTGATTCACCAACACCGACCTCAGGCCAGCGGTCCTGTAGCTCACGTCTCAACGCAGGTCATCCAGGACACGTATTTTTTTCCTCATGCACATCACAGCCTTGTTACTCTTGCAACATGAGACGGCTCTTTCGCATTGCACCTGGGGGCCATTTTAAACAGTGGAAATCACCGAGAAAAAGCACAAAAATGAGAAAAACGTGGCACTACGTAGACTGCGCAGAGGACCCTTGTTCACAGCGGGAGCTGGAACAAGAAGGGGGAGGGTCACCTTGTCCCTCCTCAGCTGGGAACGAGCACATCGAGTGACTCAAACTCTCCACCTCTCGACCACTCTGGTCCGTGAATGACTGTGAAAGGGCCGTGAGGATCGATGTTGGGGTCACAAATAAATTTTAGCGAGTGGGTGGTGTGGGCTGGATTGTCTCTTACCCAAAATTCGCGTGTTGAAGCCCCGACCCCCAGCACCTCAGAACGTGACTGCGTTTGAAGACGGGTCTTTAGAAAGGTCGTTAGGTTAAAGGAGGCTGTTAGGGTCAGCCCTGGACCAATAGGACCGGCGTCCTTACAAGAAGGAGACACCAGGGATCCTCAAATACCGTGAAAAGACTGTGTGAGGACACAGAGCACACGGCGTCTGCACACCAAGGACTGAGGCCTCCGAGTGACCAGCCCTGAGACACCTGGATCTCGGACCTCCACCTCCAGACTGCGAGAGCAAATGTCTGTTGTCTAAGCCGCCCCGCGTGGTATGTTACAGCAGCCTGAGCCGACCGGCACAGCAGGCAAGCTCTCAGATACAGAATCCACGCACAGTGAGGAGCGACTGCATTGATGTAATCTTCAGATAGGCAGAGTTTTCTTTCTTATCCTTCTATAAACACTTGCGAGGTGGAACCCATCCAGACAGCCCCCGTCACACAGCTGGCCCCCCACCCCCACCCCGAGGCGGACTCCGCCCTGTGCGTGTTTTGGAGCGCGGCTCCGAGTCTGGGAGGGGTCTGGCTCACCGGGGCCGCGTCTCACCCCCCGCTCTTGAGGTTGGACGTATTCCTGGGCTTAAACAGGAGATTTCAAATCAACAATAGCCCACGTGAAGACTGCAAGCTGGAGTTATTTCTGTTCTTGTTCTGTGTGACTTCTTGGAGTTTTTATTGCGTGTTTAAAATTTGAAACTGTGAAACCAAGTGCAAACTGCGAGGTGCATCGTCTCAGTGCCAACGTTAGTTCACACATGAAATACTTCACTGAATTCGAATACCTCTAAGATTGAAGCATGTTCTTTTTTTACTGTTAATTGTTTGCTTTTAAGAACAAGTCAGGAAAATCGTGATTATTCCGTGATTGTACTAGAAATAATTTTGCCATGTGGAGGGTAGAGTGTGCAAAAAGGGATCTGCTCTGGGCGTCAAATGCACCAGGTATGCAGCTGGCTTGGGTTCCTCTGGGCTGCTTGTCAGCATTCCAGAAGCTTCTTGCAGCTCAGGTCTGCAAGGGTGAATTGGACTCCCTGGTTGCCCAAGGCAGACCGGAAGCCAGCCACACACACGCCCCACTCAGAAGCTGTCCAGCAAGGCCTGGGGTGGACAGCGCTCTCAGGGCCCCCTGGCTCGGATCTCAGCCCTGCCTCTGTGAGGCTCGGGCTGCAATCTGCTTGGTCACCAGCAGCTTTGGGACCCACAGGAAGAGAGGATGCATGAGGCAAGAGTCCACCCCAGGATGTCAGAAGACTGAGGTGCCACCCCTCCAGTGCCTCCCAGTGGGGTAAAGCAGCCTGGGGCCGCAGCTCCAGCCCCAGGGCCCTTAACACTCCGCACTGACTAGAACTCTGAGGACCGCCCGCTCCTGAATGTCCCTTGGCATCCACAACCCTCTGTATTGTCTTTTTTATGATTCCCACATGCAAAAGCTGACTTTTTGACAAGGAGATGCTTTTTCAAGAAGGTGTTTTGAAGTAAGTTTTTAAAAGAGCCGATGGGACCATTGACCCTGTGAATTTTATTTTCTTTTAAATAACATTTTTATTATAAAAGTGATACATTGCCATTGTTCGGAATTTGAACAAATCAAATAAATCTAAAAGTGGGGGGAAAATACCCATAATCTAACCAAATCCCGAGTATTTATTAAAGGCTGTCTCAGAGATGAGGGGTCTTCCCCGTTTTGTTTATCGGGGTCTTGGGAGCCAACCAAAAGGGGTACTTGAAAGAAGATGAAGGGACAAAATTCCAAAAGCATACTCATCAGATGATGAGGGGCGGGCCTGGCTGAGGATGCCCCCAGAGGCTGGGGTCCTGGGTGCCAGGCGTCAGGCACGGCCACTGGTCCTCTCTGTGACAAAGATGCCCCTGTCTCAGATCGGTGCCCTCTGGCTGAGCCGTGAGTCTGACCGCCCTGGGCATGCCCAGACACTGGGCCTTGACCAGGACAGGCTGTGTTTCTGGCTGTGTGTCCATCCTTCCTGCCTGTCCTGGAGACCCTCACAGAGGTGTTCCCACCTGGCCCAGTCATGACACCTCAGGCCGCCGTGCTGACCCCAAGGCCACCCCCAGGATAGCCGAGGGAGGGAAGAAATGCCCAGGTGTGTGTCTCTGACTTCTGGGCCAGGTCTGTGCAGGGCAAGGTCAGGAAGTGCCCTGGAGCTCTCACCTGGGGGGGGGGGGGGGGTGCAGGGAGCATGGGGAGACCAGGCCCAAGGTGGGCAGGGAGGAGAAGGGCGGGGGCAGAAGGCCGTCCCTGCGCAGGGCCCAAGTGAGAACAAGTGCTCACTCACTGGTTGGCCCCAGGCGCTACTTGGTGCCTCTGAGACTGGTATCCTTCCCCGGGATCTGTGTGAAGATGGCATGTGGGCGACCTTCACTCACCGTCTCTTGCTCCCACCACCCCACCCTGCACACAGCTCCCCAACCCTGGGCTTCCTGGAGAGTCGCTGTCACCCTCCACCCATGCCCCAAACCAAGACTCTGGAGGGAGCATGACTGGCCCCGAGAGGGGCCCCTGCCCAACCGATGAGGCCACCTGGGCCTGAAGGGGGGTGACGCTGGCGTGGGGTGGGGAGGGGCCTGCAGAGACAGCTGCCTCCTGCAAATGAGAGACCGGGAAGTGACAGTGAGGTATCCCCAGGAGCCTGCACGGCCTGGGGCTCGGCGAGGCAGTGAGAGCCAGGCTCCCGCGTGGCTCCATGCAGATGGTTGACCCTCCGCACACACACCCCGAGCTCCCTCTGCCCTGCCACCCAGGCCCAGAGGCTGCAAGGACAGACTGTGGACACTGCAGCTGGGTAGTCTGCTCCTGAGCGAAGCCCCGGGCCTGGCACATCTCATTGAGCCCAGGGTGGCCACAGGCTCACCCAACATGGCAGGTTGAAGAGAAGTATGAGCTGCCTAAAGATCAACAGAAAAAAGGCATCTCTCCCAAAATGAAGAGAAGGAGCTGAATGCATAGATGATGCCATTTATTTCAAGACGTCTGGTGAGGTCCTGCTGTGCCTGTGTGACACGGAGGCCACCCATGAATTCGAGGGAAACTGCTGCCCAAATGGAACCTGTGTCATGGGGGAGTTTGGGTATGTCACACGCCTGGAGGACTGAGGCAGAGGGAGGAGGGGCTCCCCAAGGTGGGACGATGAGCTGGGGCGGCCAAGGGGCCTTGAAAGCCGCCTGATGGGCAGAGCGCTGGGGAGGGAGGGCGAGAGAGTGAAGGGACCAGGGGGACAGAGACCTGGGGAGCCGGGGCTGTGAGGGCAGGCCCCCTGGCCAGGCTCAGTGTGTGTCTGTGTCTGTTTGTATGCATGTGTGTGTGCATGATGTACATGTGTATGCGTGATGGACACGTGTATGTGTCTCTCTGTGTGGTGTGTGTGTTTGGGGGAGTGTGGCACAGTCCCTAACATCATCTTTCTCTGATATCTAAGCAAACGGTGACCTGTCAGGAAGTTTTTGTCAAACCCTCGCAGAGCCCTGTGGGAAGAGGAAATGCGGCCTTGGGGATGATCCCTGTGAGATGCGCTGTCCCCTCTGCATTGTTCCCCCCGGGGCCCACGTGAGCCTGTTCTCAGCAATTTGGCATTCCGCTGCATGCGAGCTCAGTGCCAGCCCTTCTCACACAAAGGCCGGTATTTGCTTTATCAACAGGATTCCCGTGACGTCAGCAGTTTGCCGGCGCAGTCACAAAGCCCCAGCACCCTGATTTTCCACTCCAGGGCCCAGGGCGGCTCCCCCACAAATCCGCGCTGTGTAGGCCGGCGGGCATTGCTGTGGGTCAGCAGGAATGTGCCTGGGCTAAGCCCTCGCCTGACTCTCCATCTGCATGTGGTCAGCAGGCTGATGGGACGGCCCACTGCCCACCCCACCGCAGCCCTCGGAAAGGGGCGAGGGGCCAGCCATGCTCTGCCAGCCCCTTCCGGGACAAAGTCATCAGGAGACCCCGCCGACACCCTCCCCACGCTGCCTGAGGGGCACGAGTTCAGCTGGACAGATAGAGGTAGTTCTGCTCCACTACACGCTGGGTCCCGTCAGGCCGCGGACGACGGCGACGCCCGCTTCTGCTCACCGACGCTTGGTATTTTCAGGAATTTTTGCCATGGGAGTAAAGTGCTATCTCGTTGAGTTTATTTTTATTACAACATGTTTCATACACTCTCAAAAGGAGAGAAAATGGTACAGTGAACTCCTTATACTCGTCAGCCGTGTTCCACAATTATGAAGATTTGGCCCCATTTTGCTTCATCTGTCTTTTTTCTTTCCTGAAGTATTCTAAGGCAAGGCCCAGACTTCATGTCATTTCACCCCTACACACTTCAGTACTTAAAAATGGGAACATTTCCTTATAAAGCACAAATTCTATTTCATCTTTGACGGCATTAATAGCCGTTTCTTGGCATCATCTAAAACCTAGACCCCTACCAACACTCCTGAGGGTCTCAAACGATCCTTTTACAGTTGACTTGTTCAAATCAAGATCCAAACCAAATCCGCTCGGTCCTTTGGCTGTTATGTGGATGTTTTCTTCTTAAAGCTTTTTCTGCGTTATTAAGATGATCGTGTGTGTTTTTCTCTTTTGATCTGTTCAGATGGTGAACCATATGACTTCACTGTCTAATGTTAGCCAATCTCCCATTGCTGGAATAAGCCCAGCTGACTCTTATCCTAAGCTTCCCAGAAAACCAAGCTTGAGGCAAAGTGTGGGTGTTAACACTTTGGTGGGAGGTGCGACCCCAGGGAGGCAAAAGTGAGGGGAAAAGTAAAGCGAGGAAGGGAAGGATGCAAAGAGAGCACAATGTAAAGTAACATAAAGTAATATAATGTAACGTAATAGAATACAATATGATATAATGTAACATAATATAATATACTGTAGCATAATATAACATAATGTGATATATTATAACATAATATCATATAATGTAACATCTAATATAGTATAACCCGATGCTTTGTGGAGCTGGCCACAGCCCCTCATGAGAGCACGGCTGGTACAGTGGTGCATCTCAGAACAGCAATTTAACCGCTGGTCCCTTCCTGCTTCCTGGCTCCCATTGGCCAAATCTGCTCCAAAGGGCATTCACTCCCCCACATTTCCCACCTGTCTTTCCCGGGAAGTGACTGGGGAGGCACAGCCCCTTGGGAGCCGGGCAGGTCAGCCTGAGAGCCAGAGCTGCCGCAGCTCCCACCATGCTGGGGTGGGGGACCCTGAGCCCAGCCTTGCCTCCCGGGGGGTGTTAGGAGACAGCCAGCGGGTCCCCTTTGCTCGGTTATGTTTAAGATTCTGCATCTATGCTCTGAAAGCATCTGGCCTCTAACTTTTCTTCCCTGAACTGTCCTGATCTGGTTTTGATAGCAAGGTTATGATTGCCTCATAAAATGGGGGCACTTTTTCTATTTTTCTTTTCTCTGGAAGAGTTTCTATGAAATTGAAACTATTCCTTCAATATTGGTGAAACTCACCTGTAAACATCTGGGCCTGATGTTTTCTATGGAGAGACTTATTTTCTACCAATTCAGTTTTTTTTAATGGTTATGGGACTTCCTTTTCTATTTTTTTCCTGAGTCACTTATGGCGAGTTGTAGTTTTCCCTATTTTTTTAAATTTTGTTTTGCGTTTAAGTGTTCAAATTTATCAGCCAGCAGTTTCTCATCATATACTCTGATTAATCTGCTGAGCATTGTGAGCATGCGTGGTTAGTTCTCTTTTTCATTCTTGTTAATCTTTACTTATGTCCCCTTGCCTTTTTCCTTGATTGACCTGGAGAGGTTTATCAATTTTATTAGATTTTTCAAGAATCCACTTTTGGCAATGTTCTCCCCTCTCCAGGGTATGCTGTTTTCTATTTCATTAAACTCTGCTCACATTATGTTCTTATGGATAGATAGATACATCGATAGACAGACAGACAGATACAGCATGAGATTTATGGTAAGGATTTGGCTCATGCCAAAGTCTGAAGTCTGCAGTGCAGGCCAGGAGGCTGGAAGTTCAGGTATGAGTTGGTGCTGCAGTCTCGAGTCCGAGTTCCACTGGGCAGCAGGTGAGAAACCCAGGCAGGGTTTCCATGCTGCAGTCTTGACGTAGACAGAATTCCTTCTTCTTTGAGAAACTCAGTCTTTGCTCTTAAGGCCTTTAACTGATTGGGTGAGGCCCACCCACGTTATGCAGAGTCATCAGCTCTCCTCTGAGTCCACTGACTTAAATCTTAATCTCATTGACAAAACAACTTCACAGCAGTATCTAGACTGGCCGTTGACCACACAATCAGGCACACGGCCCCGTCAAGGTGACACATGACATTAACCATCACACCTGGGGGGACTGCCTGCTGTTCTCAAAGCCATGGGGAAGGCGAGTGCTGGGGCCGAGGACAGATTTCCTCCGAGGTGACGGCTGCTAACAGATCACCACGACCCCACGACCACGTGCGAACGGTTAATGGGCTTTTCAGAGTCTGTGTCAGTCCAGAGACTCACGTGTGGTGAGAAAGAACACGGTGGCCCCTGGCGTCTGGAACGGATCTGGCCCTCATGGCCAGGCCACAAGGCTCTCCTCTTGGACATAAACAACCTCCCAGAACGCCAAGCCCAGACAGGATGCTCCAGGTCATGAGGCGATGAGGCAAAGCAGGGCCACTGGTCATGGTGTCTGAGCCCAGAAGCAGGGTCGCTGTGCACCTGCAAGACCCAGCTGCCTCCTCTCCTGCTGATGAGGGATGCTCGTTACCCAGGCAGAGTCTCACCAGGCTTCCGACAGCCTCCAATTAGTCACAAACATCGCCGCCTTCGAGCCGTCTCAGATCCCAGCCAAGCCCAAGCCCTGTGACAGGCCCTTCCTGACACCCTCTCACTGAGACGCCCCATGGTTCCCCAGGGACAATGAGTCACGGAGCCACCCTGTCCACCTACAGGTGCGTCCCCTGGTCTCCTGCGGAGGCCCTGTCAGTGGTCAGCCAGTGAAGCCAGTGGTAACGAAACACGGAGGGACCACGAGCCAAGCCCGTGCTGGGCCCTGGTGACACATGGCGAACAGTGACTCAGCCTTCATCCTCAAATCCCAGAGATAATGGGGTGCCCAGGGGACTCTGGCTCGTCTCCAGTTCCCCCTCCAGTCAGGTTCTGTCCCCATGACTCCTCCAAAGCCTCTCTCCATTTGCCAAGTGGTCTGTTTCTGAAATAATAAAACAGAATAACCGACCATCACAGGCTCTGAGCAGGGTGTATGCCGAGCCTGGCAACCACCCAGGAGCTATGACAAACTTCACCTGGGGGCCCGGAAGACACCCCCCCATCCCCCAGGGATGGCTGTGGCCAAAGCAGATTCCAATTAGCAAACCGTGTTTTGCAGCGACATCTGAGCTGTTCTTCAGGCTGCAGCTCAGCTCCTCACGCATCACCGTGCAGCAGCCCCCACCCCATGCCCCAGGTGCGCCCCTGCCTCTCTTCACAAGCCTAGCAACCGCTGCCACTCCGCTGCAGAAACTCAGAGAATCCTACTGCGGGCATTTCCGGTTCTCCTTCCCCGTGTTGTTAATTAGCTCTTTGGGTCGGCAGCATACTGCCCCCTCCAAGACGCCTGAGTCCGAATGCCCAGAGCCTGTAACTATGCGACCTTGTAGGCAAAAGGGACTTGGCAGATGCGACTAAGTTAAGCATCTTGAGATGGGTAGAGGATCCCGATTATCCAGGTGGGCCCAATATCATCACAGGGTCCTTAATGGAAAGAGGGAGGCAGGAGCATCAGAGAAGCAGATGTGAAGAGGCAAATGGAGGTTGCAGCGACGCAGGGCCGTGAGTTAAGGAAGGTGGGCAGCCTCTAGAAGCCTCTAGAAGCTGGAAAAGGTGAGCTTGTCTGCCAGAGCCTCCAGAAGGAATGCAATCCCGTAAACCCCTTGATTTGAGCCCAGTGAGACCCATTTTGGTCACCCGACCTCCCCCATAAGCAACACATTTGTGTTGTTTTAAGTCACTACGCCTGCGTAATGTGTTACAGCAGCGACAGAAAAGTGACGTTGTCCTGGATGACAGAATGTTAATTCAGACCCGGCTCCACAAGGACATGCAAAGCACAGCAACCAAACCCAAGGTGCGGATTCTGATTCAAAGAAACTTGCTATAAAGAGACATTTTGGGGACAGTTGGGGAAATCTGGACCCAGACTATTATGTGTTATTGAGAAGTTACTGCCAACTCTGTTAGGTTCGACAGTGGTGTAATGGTTCTGCATGAAACGCTCTGTGCATAGAGGGTTGTCCTGAAGCAGCTGGGGAGAGAGGGCGTGATGTCAAGATTTGGATTAAAGTACTCAGGGAGGGGGGAGCTGAGGGGCATATAGACATTTTGATGACTACTGCATGTACGTGAGGCTGCAGGGGCTTCATCACACTGTGTGCCTTTGTGGGAGTGACTTCTGGTCTCACGGGGATGGGATCACAGTACACTGAGCATTTGCAGCCACTTTGTCACCACCAGGTCATTGCATCTACCTTGCTAAGAGCCAATTGAGTCTCCACTCCTTATGTGCATATGAACGTGCCCAAGACTTGCCTTGTGAGAAACACATAGGGAGCCTCCAGTCAGGCTTATTATAAACAACATCCCGGTCACTATCTTTGCACCCACATTTCTGTGTGAGTATTTCTGTGAGTCAAACTCCCAGACGTGAAACTGCTGAATCAAGTAATCACATTTCAGTCAAGATGCAAACTACAGCTCCCTCCTACTGCTTCCTGTAAACTCATAAAAGCGGACGTAAAATGAACAAGCACAATGTTTATATTCTCTTGTTTCCCTGGAGAAATTGTACAAGTGAATTTCTCTAAATCTAGTTAGATAAGAGTGGCGTCCTTCACATGTCGAAATAGACGAGATTGTCTGCAATGCTTTTTGTGGGTTTATCTCCCCCTATTAGAAGGAAAAAAGAAAAACACCCCATGGTGGCCGGTAGCACAGAGCTGGCGCCTCCATTCTGCTTTGGCCGCTCCCTCAAGACGGATCCTGGCTGGTAGGGGGTGGCCAGGCCTTGTCTTTGACCCTCCCGTGGACACAGTTTTGGGCTATGGGAACAGACAAAGCATTCTCTCCCTGTGACTTGAGCCTCTCTCGAAAACCAAGGGGGCTGACCATGGGGGAGGGTCTTCCCTGCTCCAGGCAAACAGTGGAGCAGGTGGCCCCACAGTAGCATACCCGCACGTTAAGAGTCTGGGCAGAGAAATTCAAGGAGCACCATTGTATTCATGTCTCCATCCCCAGGAACTGGTGCACAGCAGGTATTCAATAAATCCATTCTTTGGTGAATGAAAGAATGTTTCTTTAATTCCCCTGAGTCCACATTCACCAGTAAGTATCTTCCCATAAAACGTGGACAGTGAGGAAGAGAAATTTCTGGTCCAGTGGACATGGTCAGGTGGCCACTTTGTGGCCAATCCAGGAGCACCATTCCCCTTTCCACCCATCTGCCCCCACCTCTGGCCGAGGCTCGCCCTTGGGGGCTGTTGGACCTGAGCGGCCAGCACCTGCCAGTCTAAGCAGCCAGAGGCTTCCTGAAGCCCCAGCTCACAGCATCTTCTTCTTTCTACCTTCCAAGCCCGCCAGCGCCCATCCTTCCAGAAGGAGTTACTCCCCCTCCTCCTGGGCCGTCCTCATCTTGCTGCGCCAGGCTGGTGGCACCCGAGCAGAGCTGCCCCCTTCCTTCCCTCCCGCTGGCCAGCATCAGCCTCCTTCCCATTCATGTCCCACACAGACGCCCACAGCCTCCTCCAGGCCCCTCAGCTTCTCCAAACCGTTCTGAGAACAATCTCCCTGGAGTTTCCACCAAGTTACCCTCTCTGTGTTCCCAGGTGTGGTGTTTCTCTAGAGCCCCTGTCTACACTGCCAGCTCATTCACCCCTGACAGTTCATGGAGGTCCAGTTGGGTTGATTGACCTGGGTTGATTGATGTCCCCCCAAAAAGATATTTTCATGCCCTAACCTCCAGAACCTGTGAATGTCATTTGGAAATAGGGCATTTGACATAATCAAGTTAAGATGAGGTCCTACTGGATTAGGATGGGCCCTAACCTAGTGGCTGGTGTCCTTATAAAAAGAGAGAAATTTGGACATAGAGATGCACACAGAAGTAGGAAGCCATGTGAGGATGGAGGCAGAGATCAGAGCGATGCTGCCACAAGCCAGGGAATTCCAAAGCTGGCCAGCAACCACCAGAAGCTGGAAGAGTCATGGAAGGATGCTCCCATAGGGTACTCAGAGGGAGCGTGGCCTGCCAACACCTTGAATTCAGACTTCTGGAGTCCAGAACTGTGGTAGTCGGACACGGACAGAAACATCCTCTGGGCAGTCTGGGTAGGTTTTATCTCCATTTCTGGGTCTCTGTTTCCTTGTCCATAAGACAAGAGGCTGGACCACCAGGTAGAAGGTCCCCTCCATCCCAGCGTCCCTGGTTCTGAGCAGGTCCTGCACCTTGTGGGCACAGAGCACAGTGTCACCAGCCCACCCTCGCTGGGAGGCACAGGGATGTGTGTCCTTCCCAGAGTGCGCCCACATCACAACATGGGTTAGGCAGAAAGACGCATGCAGCCTGGCCCTGCCCTGCCCCGTGAGGGTGGCAGACGCCCACGAGTGCAGTACAGCACAGATCCTGGTCCCAGCGTGGCCCAAGCATCTGGGGTGGCCTCCCAAAAGTGGCGAGGGAGGACCAGCATGCAGCGGCACGGCGAGTGCACACGGACACGCAGTCAGAGTGGGACAGCTGTGTGGTCAGTTTGGGGTGGGCCGCACACCTGTGGGGCTTGGGCTGGCACCCAGCATGTGGTGAGGGCCGAGAGTGACGGGGACTGGGACCACCAGGCAGGCAGGCCTATCTGACAGAGAGCCCTCGCTGGGGGGAGGGAGGAGCAAGCACAGCTGCCCGTTGTCATCACCGAATGCAGACCTGCGTGAGGTCAGGTGGTCCAGTCATGGCGACTGGGGCTCTCGTTTACCTGGATGGTGGGGAGTCCAGGGAAGAAGGAGTGGGAAGCCCACTCTTGTTGGGGGTTGGAGGTCAGAGAGGCAGGTTGCCGGATGTAGTGCTGACTGCGGGGGGACCCACCAAGAGGTGGCATGGTGGGTGGGGGAACTGCCCAGTGAGGGCTGAGTGAGTGCAATGAGGAGGGCTCCCTCCAAGCCCAGCCCAGGAGCCCTGCCAGCCTCACTGCGGTCCCCGCCTCTCTGCCACTCGGCCCCTCCCAACCTATCCCCAGAGGCAGCCCAGTTCCGCACCAGCATCTCCCCAGCCGGCAGCCCCCTGGCCACTCTGGGCTCCTTCAAACACCCCGAAACCTCGAAGCCCTGGACACCCGGGGAGGGAGGGTGGCCCCTGCACCTGTTTTGGCAAGCAGAGGGGGAGGGGAGTCTGCACCAGCAGTGGGGACCCCAACAGTGACCCCCACTGACAGCAGGAGGAAGAACTGGGCCCGCCCCTCCTGCAGCCTCCCCACAAGGCTGTGGCCCACGGCGGCATCCCCAGCAGGTGGCTCCTGAGCTCATCTCTGATCCCACAGCCAGGTGGGGCCGTGTGGTCAGTCCTGGTCAACGGACGAGAAGGAGGCCAGGTGTGTCCATCATCAGGGCCACTGTGAACTGAAGGTCAGGGCCACTGGATTTAGACAAATAAATATGCCATTATCTGTTTGAAAGAACTTACCCATTGCAACCCTGGGGCCCCGTTTCCATGGGAACCTAATACATGATGCCCAGAGAGAGCCAGTGGCTAAACAGGGGGTACTGGAGTGAGGTGGGATGGAAGAAGCAATCCCAAGTCAGTTTCCATCTTCCAAACCTGTTCTCTACCCAAAGTTTAAACCACAAATCCTGCATAGCATCTTTAGGAGACACCGATTTTTTCCCCCCATTCAAGAGTCCTGAATAATAAAGCAGCCTCAGAAGCTGAGCACTGGACAGAGCCTTCTTGCGGCCTAAAAGCGGGAGACTCGCGCCCTCTGGTGCCCATCGCCGGAGCAAGGCGGAGTTTCTGCTCCCAGGGCAGAGCGACGGTACTGTCGAAGCCCCAGGTGCGGTGACAGTCTGCAATCTGCAAAGTCTGTCCCTAACTATTGCCTGATAAACACCCACCCCCCTCACACCATCGCCCACGGGATTTGCTGCACCTGAAACCAGCGGCCAAGCGGAAGT